AATGCTTTCCCTTCATTTACTAGCTGGATCACAGGCCCCAGACTCTCCACCCAGAAAGTCATGGCATGTTAAGCCTCCCCATCCTATCTTCTGACCCCCTGGCTGATTCAGCAACTGAAAATCGATCAGAAAGGCAAGCAATGATGGCACCCTGGGGAGCAGGGCTTCTAATAAGAGGGTAAGTCAGCTTCTTCTTTTCTCTTTTACACAGCTGGAACTACTGGGGATCGGTTCCAGAAAATGCCTCGCCACACCAATCACCCCCTCCTGTGCAGAGTCCCCTTCTCTCTGAGGCTGGGCCCTCACGGCCCCCTCCGCAGTGCTGCCAGCTTCCCCTCTTTTCCCTCCAACCAGCTGCTGCAGGGCACAGGATTTCAGAAAGAAGAGCAGGGTGGGACAAGTAAATATATCTACTGGCCCCTTCCTTTTCTGGATGAACACAGGGACTGACTGATACTGATCACTCACTGTGTTCATTCTTAACTGCAGCATAGTAAATTCTGTTTACTTTACGTTAGTTTGTAATAAACAAGAAGACTGGGCAAAGCTCCTTCGGTTTATTCATTCTGTGCAGCTGAGGCTGCAGAGATATTCCTCAATCTCTATGTCATCAAACAGTTTCTCTGTCTCAGAAGAATCTGTTTAGACCCCTGATATTTCCCCAAAGCCACCCAAGAAGGCTGTTAAAAAAATAGTAAACAATAATTTAAAATAGCATTGTAAAAATATCTAAAAAATTGTAGACAAAGTAAAAATAAAAAAAACACAGAATTATGGGCACATTCACATGGGTTCTGTGGCCAAAACATTGTGAATAAGCAGTTTGTTTGTCCAGCTGGAACTGCTATGGGGATGCAGCGGCTATACGAACACAGCTGAAGGTCCTAATTTGACAGGTATGCAGATGCGGTGAATGGTTCCAAATGTGTTTGGGGCTGTAGACCTGCGCCCACATGCCTGTTAAATTAGGATCTGTGGCTGTGTTTGTACTGCTGCTTGTGGGCTCTCAGACACTAGGTGGGTGGGCGCGGTTATTCTTCCTCATCCGGTTCTCTATGGTCAGGGAATTTCCAAGATGGTGTGGGTGTACATTGTGTTTGCTGCATACTCAGATTAAGGGTCTGGTATTGATTTTTAGGGAGACCTCTTCTCTTCTGTGTATGGAACCCCTTTAACCAATTTTATACCCGGCAATTTTACACCTTCCTGCCCAGGCCAGTTTTCAGGTTTCAGCACTCTCACATTTTGAATGACAATTGCGCGGTCATACAACAATTTTAACCACACTAAAATTTATCCTTTTTCTTCACACAACTAGAGCTTTCTTTTGGTGGTATTTAATCACCACTGGGGTTTTTATTTTTTGCTAAATTAACAAAAAAAGACCAAAACTTTTGAAAAAAAAAACACACGTTTTCTTTGTTTCTGTTATAAAAGGTTTGCAAATAAATAATTGTTCTTCATAAATTTAGGCCAAGATGTATTCTGCTACATGTCTTTGGTGAAAATAACCCAAATTAGGATGTATTTTTTAGTTTGTAGGAAAGTTATAGAGTTCACAAACTATGGTATAGATCTGAATATTGATCAATCCTGAAGTACTGACCGCCAATCTAATTTCTTGAGGTCCAAGAATGTCAGAACAGTACAGATATCCCCCAAATGACCTCTTTTTGCAAAGTAGACAGTCCGACGTACTTCATAAGAGGCATGGCAAGTTTTTTGAAGTTGTATTTTTTTTTTTGTCATTTTTTTGGAAAATTAAAAAAATGTTTCACTATTTTTTTTTTTTTTTTTTACATATTGTCACCAGTGCAGTACAGTGTTATCATATAACTGGCATGGCGGTGATCAGGGACACGGACTGGTGACAGTATGGAGGAAAAAAAAATATATATTTTTTTTATTTATGAAATTTTTTTTTTTTTTTTTTTTTTTAAGATTTTTTTTTCATATTTCACTATGACCAAAGTAGTACAATGTTACCATAGTAACATTGTACTACTTTGGGGAAGTGATCAGTATTTTTTTTTTTTTTTTTTTACACAATTTTCTTATAGCAAAGAATTACTTTGCTATAAGCAAGCATTTACCTGAATGACATCGATTCATTCAGGGGTTTTTTTTTTTGTGTTTTGTGCTTAGCTGTGATTTGGCCACAGCTAATCACATGACATGGGCATGTGATTAGCTGTGACCATTCACAGCTAGACACTAGTATACAATGGATGGCATGTATGAAGCCATCCATTGTATACAACTGTCATGTGACCTGCTGTGATTGGTCACAGCAGGTCACATGGTACTGGCAACAGGGGCCGATACTCAGATCTGTCATCGGCCGTGGCCGAGATACACGGCCAGTGACAGATCGCGCCGCTGCGTGGCTCTGCAGGAGCGTAATCTGCGCATGTGCGGGAGGATGCCATATGGCATCCACCCGGAATGCTGATGACATTTGCTGGCCGCCATTCGGCCATAGGGCAGGCGCCAAATGGTTAAAACCCACACCAGACTCAAAGGCGTTTATCTGCTAAAGCTGCAGAGTGCAAAATCATATTTTTGGGTGGGGGGGTCCACACAAATTTTTATTTTCATTCTTGGTGTGGGATGTGCAAAACATTTATATAGAAAAAAAAATATTCAGTTTAAATTGATGGCAAATGTAATTTCATTGCCAGCTTCTTAAAAAACCAAGACAAAACGAAGACTTGGTTTTTCCTTTGTAAATGTCAGTACCACTGCAGCATATTCTGTACATCGGGGAGATGTGCCCCTTCACAAGCAGGATTAGGGCGCCCTCAGGCGTGTTATTAAAAGGAATTGGGTGATAAAAAAAATAATGCTTTAGCAAGGAACATACGGTCCATTCCACATTAATAATTATGCTACCAAAATTAGTGTGAACTGTAAATCGCCTTCAGTATTGTTCCTGTTGCTGAGGTTGCCGTTATGCTGAAGCCCAGAACCGCTGAGCAGAAGTAAATCTTTAGGCTGACAGCAGATTGGCTTTGGCTCTGATTTTTGGCACATTGATGAAAAATAGAGAGCAACTGAGCATATGCACAGCAGGGTGAAACAGTGTATTACTGGATTTTAAACAGTTTTGGCACTTATGTTTAATGTTTTACATAGCTATAACTGCAGAAGGAGCCAGCCTGAAGTGATTTACCGGGACTTAATTTCCTGACTAAAGTTTCACTTTAAGAATTTGAAAAAAAAGCTGCTCCTCGCCAAGAGGATTTTTTTTTTAATTGGTACACAATCCCTGGGGAGGTGCCCACACCCCAAGGTCCTTGTTATGGGTGCCCTGTGCATAAATGATCATTTAACCCTAGCTTTAAATGTATGCAACATAACTACTTGCTGACCACCCAGCCACCTTTTTCTGTGGGCGAACGGCTTATACAGGCATGATCATGTACCTGTAGGTCAGCAGTGGCTTCCAGGTTCAGGAAATGCATAACACCCACCCCCTATGGCCGACTCCCGTACCTATCATCTTTTGAACTTCAAAAGGAGGGTCACTGGAGGAAGGAAATAATCTGCTGCAAAATGTGGGCATGACCAGTCTTAACAGTGGGAGGGGGCATAAGGGATGTGGTTAAACAAAACCTGTTTTTCCTTGCATCTATAAAATATGCTTTGATTGCTTCATCTTAGCCTACCTTAAAGAAGAACTTCATTAAAATAGTCAAGGACTACATAGAAACCAGCAACTGATGAGACAATGATCACTTTGGTGAGAAGTATATAATGTACAGTACAGGGGCGGATTGATCACTTGGAAACTTGGGCACTGCCCGAGGGCCCGGGGTCAGTAAGGGGTCCCACTAGATGCCCCTGGTACCTTTTCATAGGCTTTTTTTGAGTTTGGGCAGGGACATAGGGGCCCCATGATTCCCTATTGCCCGGGGGCCCCATGAGTTGTCAGTCCGCCCCTGGTACAGTATTGTGTATATATTGCAGGAGTGTGTAAAGCAGAGCACAGGAGTCGTGGATGTCCAATGCACTGAATGCTGCAGTCAGTATCAAGTTTAGGATACATAACACAGACTGCTGGGGTCCAGGGAGTGTAATACAATTGTTCAAGGATCAGGAGCAGGGCTTTTTTTCAGCTGGAACGTGGTGGAACTCCACCACCTCTGGGTCAAGCCTTCTGCTCCTTGTTCACCACCATCATTTGTAGACATAAGTGACAGCTTGTCTCCCAATGGCTCCGACAGATCTGATCACCTGAGTGGCTCCCGCTGAGTGCAGGATGGGGACAAGGTAGATGCAGGTACCCGGGGTGCAGTGCGGATGCTGACACCCCCACTGGATGATCTCTCTGCAAGTGAGAGAGGCGAAGCTACCTACAGTATTCGGGGAGGTAAAAGAGAAGGAGAGGGGTGAAAGTGAGATGTGGATTGGGGATGCAGAGGTAAGCAGCTGTGGAAGAAGACTGAACTCTGCACTATGTACATAGCACATCCCCAAACTCTGCATTTAGCACACTCCTGAACTCTGCACTCTGTATGCAATGCATTCCTGGTATTTAATGCCGATTTAAGACCCTACCACTGTTAGTGAAATTCGACCACACCCACTATTTGATGTGGTTTGGAGGGTTATTACAGCAAGAAAAGTAAGACGTGGAAGATGGTGGTAGGTCACTGCCCGAGGTCAGTAGGGGGCCCCATGAGATGCCCCTGGTACCTTTTTCATAGGCTTTTTTGAGTTTGGGCAAGGACACAGGGGCCCCATGATCCCCTAGTGCCCGGGGGCCCCATGAGTTGTCAGTCCGCCCCTGGTATATACATATGCACACGCGTCTAGAATCTATATTGCACTGTAAAATGTCATGTTTTATCGTGTCTCCGTCAGGGAAGCCATTTTGTTAGGGTTTCGTACTTAAGCTTCTAATACCTGATCTTCACAAAAATGGCCGACTCTGCACACCTAAAGCGATCAACCTGAAGACATAATCGTTGGAAGTTCCACAAAGCCTGTGCTGTGATTGGCTGCTCTGCCGGCGACTCTGTAGAGCCGGTTTGACAGGGCAAACAAAGATGGTGGCTCCTGTGATAGGGTTCTCCGCGGTGGGTGAGTATTATGGTATATGATGGTGAGCGCTCCTGTTCATGAATGGACACTGATATGTTCTCCTTGTCACAGAGGCCTCCCGCGGGAAGCGAGCCGCCCTCTCCATCGCTCTGGTGGCCGCTGTGGTGGGGCTGCCCCTTTGGTGGAAGACGACCGAGACATACCGAGCCACCCTGCCCTACTCGGACATCAGTCAGCTGGGCTACCTGCAGGTATGGTCCGGAGAAGGAGGCCCGCCATGAGTCTCTGTTATGGGAGGAGGTCACTTCCGGTAGTATGAGGGACAGTCACACATTTGTCAGCATTTTCAAGAGGAGAGGAGTACAGGAGGGCTAACTGCAGAGGCCGAATGAAGTGTAAAGCCTCATTCACCTGTGTTTAGCGGCACAGCTGTTGTGTGCAGCCTCCTGCCAGCGCTCCTATAGATGTCTGTTGGGATGCAGCAGCTGCACAGACACAGGCGCTGCTCCCAATGTGACATCTGTTCAGGGGCACAGCTCTGAATGCACCATGGGTGAGTTCAGGGCTGCCAATTTCATATTGGGATCTCCGCTCCCTGTATGGTTCTCGCGTTGGGATCTCCGCTCCCCGTATGGTTCTCGCGTTGGGATCTCCGCTCCCTGTATGGTTCTCGCGTTGGGATCTCCGCTCCCTGTATGGTTCTCGCGTTGGGATCTCCGCTCCCAGTATGGTTCTCGCGTTGGGATCTCGGCTCCCCGTATGGTTCTCGCGTTGGGATCTCGGCTCCCCGTATGGTTCTCGCGTTGGGATCTCGGCTCCCCGTATGGTTCTCGCGTTGGGATCTCGGCTCCCCGTATGGTTCTCGCGTTGGGATCTCGGCTCCCCGTATGGTTCTCGCGTTGGGATCTCGGCTCCCCGTATGGTTCTCGCGTTGGGATCTCGGCTCCCCGTATGGTTCTCGCGTTGGGATCTCGGCTCCCCGTATGGTTCTCGCGTTGGGATCTCGGCTCCCCGTATGGTTCTCGCGTTGGGATCTCGGCTCCCCGTATGGTTCTCGCGTTGGGATCTCGGCTCCCCGTATGGTTCTCGCGTTGGGATCTCGGCTCCCCGTATGGTTCTCGCGTTGGGATCTCGGCTCCCCGTATGGTTCTCAGATTGGGATTAGCGCCTGTGTTTGTGCAGCCACCCTGTTTCAAATGACAGCTATAGGACTACCAGTGTGAGGATGCATGCAACATCTATGCTGGTAAACACAGCCCTGCAGGAGGCATAGATGTAATTGCATCACATGAATGAGGCCTTAGACTGTGTTAGTCCTCTATCCTTGTAACTTTCTCTACAGTGGCCCCTCCTATACTTTTATCTTCTTATAAAATGCATGAGAACAAAGCTAAGCTCTCCATACACTATAAAATCTGATTGTACAGTCCCTTATAGATCTACCATTGACTATATAGTGCAAAGGCATGCCAGATAGGATAGATTAGGTGTGTTCTCACCTGTAATTTTGTTAAAAACAAATGAAGATTTAACCACTTGCCCTCCAGAGCATTTACCTCCCCCCCCCCACTTCCTCACCAGGCCATTTTTTGCGCTACGTTACTTTAACTGACAATTGTGCGATCATGCAACTCTGTACATAAATTAAATGTATGTCCTTTTCCTTTCAATAAATTTTTATTGTATAGTTTGGGTTTAAATGGTACAAATGCAACCACTATCATGTTCATAAACCATGGTAGGAATAAACTGTAAGTCAATTGCGGTCGTGCCTTGGAACATTTATCCATAGGTAAAAACAAGTAATTTGTATGTCAAAGGAGAGATACCTGAATCGACAAAACACATCAAGTCAGTACTGCAGCAGGAAGACTATACACCCATTGCTGACAAAATGTATGTCCCTTTTCTTCACAAAAATAGAACTTTCTTTCGGTGGTATTTGATCACACCTGCGGTTTTTATTTTTTGCGCTATAAACAAAAAAAGACCGACAATTATGAAAAAAAAACAAAACAACATTTTTGACTTTTTGCTATAAAACATCCTGCTGTGGGCATTCTGACACTGGGTGGGAACTGACTAACTGCCACTGACATCCTGAGCGACATTAATACAGTGATCAGTGCTAATAAAAAGCACACTGGCTAGAAGGGGTTAACATCTGGCGCAATCAAAGGGTTAGCTCTGTGTGCTTTGTGTGTTTTACATTATGTGCTGTGTGATGTTTTACAACGGAGACATGCTGCTTTGTATTTCTCTGTTGTGCAGAGAAATACAAAGCAGCATGTTCTTGCTGACAGGCGAGAGACCTGTGTTGTTTACACACAGGTCTCTCCCCTTTCCGTTTTCCCCGATGATCACCGAGTGCTGGTGTGGAATCGCTGGCTGTGACCTAGTGATTGATATCTTTAGCCACCGATGGCGGCGCAGGTAGGGTGGCGCACGCTCCCCCTACCCGGAAATGCAAATTGTGTATATATACGTGATTTTGTGTAGCCCTGCCGCCTTGTACAGAACATGGAAATGCAATTATTTTACTAATTATAAACTGCTAAATACCTTTTCTCATCAGCTGTATATAGCAGTTTTGTGACTTCTATTAGTGTCCAGCTAAACACTGGTTAAAGCTTGTAGGACGAGTTTTCATTATCTTTTGACTGCTTTATGAGATTGCTTAATCCCTGACCCTCTGTCTGGAAAGTGCTGATTGGCCCTGTGCTGATCACATGCACTCTCCCAAGAAAAAGAAAAAACTGTGCACATGCTCAGTTTGGTGTGTATTGCTAGAGTGTCCCCAAGGCTGCATGGTTTATCAGGAGATGAAATGGGGACAGTGGAAGAAGGGGAGGATCAGAGAAGATAGGATAAAACATCCTTTTTACACAATGCTTAGGATTAACCCCTTAGGTTCCACAATGAGTATAACAAGCATGCTTTACTGCATATACAGACTGATTTTACTGTTGTGGGTTTAGTAACACTTTAACTTTATAGTGATGGGTCTCTAAATAATTTATTTTTAATTATGGAGAAGGGTAGGATTAAATAAGTTTGTACTTCTTCCCACTCCTTTTCGGATATGTAAACTGAAAAAAAATCTTTTTAGCTGTTCGTCTTATCTTGTAACTAGTTGTTTTGTGACTGTGTACTACCACGATTACTTCTTAAATTTTTTTATTTTTACATGTTCGAAAAAAAAACTAAAGAGAAGATTGTACAATTAGATTATATAGTGTATGGGCACCATAAGGTCCTGTTTGTTTATACTATACCGTTAGAAAACGGTGCTGCGTTTTTCATTGTGGTGCGCTTTTTTTTTTTTTTTTGCATAAAGGAATGCAGGATACTGAAACTGCCATTCCCCATTCTATGTACATTGAATGTTGGCAAATGACAGTAACCTGCCATGTACACTATGCCATGAGACAGTAACATAAAAGGGATCAGTGATACTCATGTTTTTATATTTCATTTCAATAAATTCTTCTTGAAGTTTTACAACTTACAAAGCAATAGCTGAATACAGGAACAGCAAAGGACCTGACATTGGCCAAGGGTACAGTTAAACTCCAGTCACATCTGCGCATTCTGGGAACGTACACAGAAATGTGTGTTTCCAGAATGTGTGAAGAACGTGTGATGTGATTATGGTGCCATTGGTATTGACACCGTAAATGTGTGTTTTGCCACATGCAAAAATACACAAAAAAATGTGCAGACTGGATTACAGCAAATGCTCCATGAGCTACTATGCTGCGCATGGGGCAGCCTATTAGAGTCAATGGGCTGCCCTATGTGTGTCATGCAAAAAAAGAAATGCGTGAAAAAACACACATTTGATATATGCTAGGTGTGAGGCCAGAATCATTACTATCCATAGTCTCAATATAGCCTTTCACTGCCTTCATTCTTATGGGTGTGGAACATAAAACTAAACCGCTCTTCAGACAGCTCCAATATTTAGACTGGCTAGCTTTTCACTTTCTACGCAGTACACGTAATGGGGTTGCCAAGTATTTGCCTTACTGCAGCACAGCCTACGAGACAGACACCGCAGGACAACATCCTAATCCTGGGACTGTCCTGCATTATCTGGGACAATTGGCAACTATGTTGTGGTCTATGTGAACTCCCACACTGTCTCCCACCTTCTAAGTGTGAAGTGACTGAGGATATGGTGGATGGGTAGTATTCAGATTTCAGATGAACTTTGATTTTGGATATAAGTTCACACTACATGCATTTCAGTTACTTTGTTTCTGCATCCAAAATGCACAAAAAGTAAGTTATATGGTTGTCAGTGTCATAGTTCACATCAGTGCTTGCAGCTCCAGTGCATTCTGGTTGCAGAAAAAAACTGTAGAACAGGCTGCATTTTTCCGGCACGTTACTGTACTGGAACACGGTAAAACGCTTCATAAATACACTGGAATGCAGATGTCCCTATTTAAATTGAAAAAGAGAGGGGAAAAAATGAACCAGAACGTATCAAACGCATCAAAACGCGCATGCAGAAGCGCATCGGGAATGCATCTGGTCTGCATTTCTATGGTGTGACCAGCCCTAAAGCACCTTAAGGCCCTATTCAATCAGATCCACCTTAGGGAGCAATCTGATCAGGGTCGCTTGTCAGTTTTTTGGTTCATACATTCCTTTGGACAGGTGGGGGTAAACAAACTTGTATCTGTTTACACCTGTCTACATTCGGGTCCGGCCTGTTCCATTTAGGTGAATCTGATCGGGGAGAAGTCGAGTGTAAACGGGTGTCCATTTACACCCACCTGCCCATAGAGCAGAGCAGGCTCTCTCCATGTTGGCTCTGTAGAAACTGAGTGGACATGCATGTGTCATCTGCCTGCTCTGCTCCGATCAGCAGGGAATCTGTGAGCTGATGCCGTCCGTAATGGAATCCTCCCCATAATAAAAGGGCCTTTAATGTTGTGTTGACATTACCTCCTGTCTGTGTTTTGTTGGTCAGAAGGTTTCTTAAAGGATAAGTTCACCTTTTGCTAAGAAATAGCTGCACATTTTTTTTGCAGGTAAAATAAAATGTGCATTTATTATTTTTTGTTGCAGGAGCCTGTAAACCATTGCACCAGCAATCATCAGATCGCTGGTGCCATGCAGGTCTCTTGCAGACCTGTCAGTGTATCTGCTTTCCTATATGGGATGTACTGGCAAGCAGATATACTGACAGGAAGAATCCGTGAACTACCACAGTGCTCCATAGCAGTTCATTGAGAGCTACAAGTTGACAGCCACTAAAGCTGTCAGGACTTGTAGTTTCTCATTCACAGTCCTCTGTGAATGAGTGACACAGCCGGGCTCGTCACTCATTCAGAGTACTGTGAATGAGAAACTACTTGGCAGGGGCGGACTGACCATTTGTAAACTCGGGCACTGCCCGAGGGCCCGGGGTCAGTAGGGGGCCCCATGAGATGCCCCTGGTACCTTTTTCATAGGCTTTTTTGAGTTTGGGCAAGGACACAGGGGCCCCATGATCCCCTATTGCCCGGGGGCCCCATAAGTTGTCAGTCCGCCCCTGCTACTTGGTGAACTTATTTTTTCATTTAGCATTGCTGATACACAGCCTGGACGTTGCTTAAGGCTCATATCCCAATAGCAGTCCTGTTGCTGGCACCAACTTGCCAGCGATGGCATCACTAGTAGAGCAGAGAAACCACTCACCTGGTTCCACATCATTCGTCCCTCACTGGCTGTTTTCGTCATTGCTGAGCATTATTTTGCAGCATTTCAGTCAGAGAGGGTTGACACTGCAGAATCAGGGGAGTGTTCTGTTTACCAATTCCTTTCCTGGCTAGTTGCTGCTGTAAATGGGGTCACAAGTCTGATATGGGTCTTTTTATATGCCCAGTGACTCCTCAGCATTGTCTGCTGGCTATAAGATATGTTTTTGAGTTTATCAACCTTTGCCTGCATCATGATGTGCTCTTATTTGTGTAGGTGGTATTTTTGCCTTTTTTTTATTAAGCATCTCTAGTACAAATGAAAATTTAAGTATTTATTTTAATTTATATGTCAGCTTCAGCTCACTGTGCCTGTTGAGGTGGTGTTTTCTAAAGGAACACTGACTGCTGAGCAACAAAGGAGAATCCCAGCTTCTGATTCAAACGAAAAGGAGATGGTATTAAATGGTGAGTGCCCTATCTTTGTGCTCTATAAGAAGTTGTGTTTATTGCAAAAAAAATTTTGGTAGCAGCCAATCATAGTCTGTAGTTTTCTGTGTGACTGCAGTAACATGAATTTTGGGTTTGAGTTAGTAAGTTAAGTTGTAAGTTATGTACACAACATCTTTGTTAAAATTCTCTATTTAAATATTAGAGTTACAATGTACGTTAGAAACTGTTAGCAGAAAGCATAGATAGTCGAAGACAATGAAAAGCATAAAAGTATAAACTTCAAAGTTCCATGTCTTTGTAACAAAGTATCCATTTTATGTTATAAGCAGAACAAACTAAAAAACATACAAGATCACAACAAAACATGTATTGGTCTGGCCTCATGTTAAATTCTAAAGATGACCATACAGTGTACAATCTTTAGTTCCACCATCAACTAGACAGTGCAAAGACCTGCTTGATTTGATATATATTGCATTAGTTAATGTTGATCTCATATTACATTGTTTTGGTAAATCCAAAGTAGATTGCATTGATATTGTACAATCAGATTGCATAGCGTATGGCCAACTTTAGGGGCAGAAGGAAATTTTAAAGCATAACTAAAGTGTAAAAAAATCCTAGTAGGTAGAGTTTTTTTTTGGTAGTAATCCTACTGTCTCAGCATGTTTGTGGGTTAGGTGGTGCTGCAGACATTTGCATCTTCTCCTTGGGTGCTAGAGGACCTAAGGGATTTGTATTTTACTGCTGGCAAAAGAAAAAGAAAACTCTTCTTCTGCTAGCAATTTGTTTGCGCACACTGCCTGCAGTGCATCCGCATTGCTGTGTACACTTTGCTACGTACTTCCACATTATGGTAAGACATACCACCAATCTGTGTGCTACAGTTCCACTTTAGGTTCCATTGTGACCACGTTTTATCATATTGAGTCAGTCGGTCATTTATTCTTGCAGCTGTAGCTACTAACTGCCAAAGCATTAGGAATATTTACTAAAGCTGGCCATAGTAGTTCCTGCTACAGATCTAAGGATCAGCTTCTCTTGAGCAGGAATGTTGGAAAATTCTTCTTCGATCAGTGCTGATCAGTGTGTCCTGACAGTGGAGGAGCCCCGCCGTCAGAATACAATAGTGCAGCTGGGAGGATTCCTCCATCAACCTGGAATATGGATTTATAGTCCTTCTTTTTTTTTTTTTTTTTTTTTTTTTTTTTTTGTGCCTGGAGTGCAGCTTTAACACTACCATATCATAAAAGTTGATTTATGCCATACAAGGTCTTTTTTTCTGTTTGAATTTAAAATCTGTTTCCACCTCAGCTCACACCAGTTTTAGCACCCGCTATGAGTTCAAGTACAGAAGAACAAGTATTGAGGAAGATGAAGTACTCTCTCTGCTGAGTTTACAAGGTACAAAGTATTTGTTGCTTTTCCTTCTCAGTTCAAGATAAGCCAAAACCAAAGACAGACTAGCTACAATAGTCCATTGAATCTCCAACATTTTAATGCCTGGTGTTACTTGGGAAATTTCCTAAAATAGTAGATGTCCTTTGTTGTTGTGAATTCTTTTTATCATGTGCCATATAGACTTGTTACCTAAAATAGTATGTGTTATCAAATATTGACATACAACATGCAGTAAGTACATTAAACATTGTTTTAGAAAGGTTTTAGATATAAATTCTTTTGTATGATCTCATATTGGTGGTCATAGTATGAAGAAAAAAAAAAAAGCTTAGCAGACTGGCAGCAGTCTATACACTCCTCAGCTATGGGCTTTTTCATGAATAGGTTAAAGTGGAAGTAAAGGCTAATATATGTCCAGTTAAAATGTTGGTTCCCTCTTCCTCCTACTTATGCTCCAAGCTCTGGGTCCTCTGTGCTAGCAGATGGGAAGGAGCGCCAACAATGGTGGGGTCAATGGAAGTTGGCACTTTAAAACCTAAGTGCAGTCAAAAACACAAATTAGAAAAATCAGCACAAGGGACATACTGTAACGTACAGTTAGCATGGTGTCTCCCTTTGATTCTACTTATTTTAATAGTAATCCACTCAGTCCCGCACCTCCTGCCTCCATAATCGTATCTCTGAATTGAGGGGATGGAGGTATTAATTATCCGCCCATTCCCCATTTATAGATCCTGTGCTACTACAGCTGAATGGCAGATCTGGCAGGAAAGGGTGGGCATAGTTGAGCACTCTTGATGGGAGTTGCTGACAGCCCTGTAACTGTATTAACCCCTCTCACGCTGGAAGATTGTAGGGGTGGGGGGGTGCATGACCAAGTGGATTACTACTAAAAGAAGAAGAATCAACTCAAGGAACACATCTTACTAGCCAGAAGTTATGTCTCTTGTACTAATTTTTTCTATTTGTGTCATAAGCTGCACTTAGGCTTTAATTACACAGAATAATATTTTCGCCTGTGAGCTTTTCAGTTCACATTGTTTTTGATTAGGGCTGAATCGCAGTGTTTTGTCCTGATTATGGGTGGAGAAGTAGGGTTATTGGAGGCAGAGAGTGAGTTGGTGGTCATAGACCACTATGAGAAGATTCAAAGCAGAAGCTGGTTGTGTACTGTGGAAAGAGAAAAGAATGCAGAATGACAGCAAATCCTGAACTTAGAAGGGGGGTAGAGGAGGCAGAACATCAACTGGTGGTAGCCCAGGGTGTATAGACAAGGTAGAGTGAAAGCTGATCCTGGCAGAGTAAAGTGTTGGCTAATTACTGATCAAAGGCCATGGAAGAAAGGGAGAGGGAAACCAGACACATGATCATGGATGTCAGAAAAGGACAAGAGAAAGAGAGAATATCTTCACACATGGTTCAAATGTGCAGCCAGCACCTAACCCTTCATCTGCAAGATTTGTTGTATAAATCACTGGATGTCCCATGGTCAACCCCTACCACACCCTGAAGTTCAACTCATGAGCAGTCCCTGTCATTTTTTTTTCCCCTCATTGTCCCCATTTATGTGGAACCCACTCATTACCTAATACTAGTCCTTCTCGGGTGCCGCAAAACTAAATGGTGCTAATGGAGGTTATGTACCAATAGTGCAGAGAAGGTGACAGTAGATGCAGCTTCATTGTGCTAACCACTTACATTTCTGGAAGAGGTGTTGTCATGTTGCCCCAATCACTTTTACATCAAATAACGATCCACTGTTTGGGTTGCGTAGAAGTGATCAAGTTTTAAAACTTTGTTTTAGTAGCAGAGGAGCCTATAACGCCTTTTGCTTTAACTCTTTCAAGACAGTTAAGGGGTTAAACTGAAAACTAGTACCTAGTATACACTATGAGAAAATAGGACAAATGATCTGATTTTCCACGAAGATGTGTATTCTGATGTAACCAACAATGGTATTAACATGCACAAAAATTCTCACCTGACAAAGGCAATTGTGGCTATGTACTAGCATAGTTGAAGGGGTTAGTGTAGGGTCGTTCTTTGCTTCTGAGCACGCGTGTCTTTTTTCTATTCGATTATTTCTGTACGATTACTGTACATATTGAGCACAAAATCAAGTGTTCTGTTCACATACGGCAAACAATTTCTAGCTTGCACCTTCAGTTTTTGTCACCTGAACAGTTGGAATCCATATACTAATGATCAGATAAGCAACCGATCGTTCCTCATAGGACATATTCGTACAATTTTCTTATCGCTAGTACTGCCTTTAAGGTTGGAAGTTGGGGTCCTAATTAGATTTTATGTTATATGATGTTGGTTTGCATTTGAAGAATACATACTATTGCCACAAGAGGGCTTCAGTCTCACGAACCGTTTGTATATGGATTGTTCCATTTATACAATTTGAGAAATACAGCTTAGAAAAACATCAGACATAAATATCTTTTTTTTTGCCTTGCAGAAGCAGATGAAGCTCTCCAGCAGTTCAGTAAAGGAACCCAGGGATCCCTGTCTCTGTTTATTGTAACAGAAACCACTCACCTTTTCCCACAGGTACTAAGAGATCATATAACCTATGGTGCCTTTAACTACTTCCAGACCGGACACTTTTACCCCCTTCCTGACCAGGGCAATTTTCAGCATTTCAGAGCTATCACACTTTAAATGACAATTGCGTGGTCATGCAACACTGTACCCAAATGAATTTTTTACCATTTTTTTGAGACAGATAAAGCTTTATTTTGGTGGTATTTATTCATCGCTGGGATTTTTTTTTTTTTTTGCTATGTAAATGGAAAGTCCCAAAATTTTGAAAAGTTTTTTTTATTTATAACATTTTGCAAATAAATAATATTTCATCATAAATCTTGGCCAAAATTTATTCCGTTATCTTTTTAGTAAAAAAAAAATAAATCCAAATTGGTGTATAACTAAAAATTATAATTTTTAAACATTTTTTTTTACATTTTTATTTTAATTTTTTTATATATATATATATATATATATTTTTTTTTTTTGACATACTGTCACCCTAGCAGTACAGTGTTACCATGGTGACAAGGTTTTATATATCCCAAGACTGTTTCTGGAGGAGCTGTTCCACCATTAGGGTTGTTATAGCTCTCTCCACTACAGTTTGCTTTTTATTATATTTCAAAGTAATAGAAAATCTTAGCTATTGTTTTAAATTTTAACAATTTTAAAAATCTATAGAAAAAACTTCAGCGCAATAGGTACCTCCTTACAAATGTGCAGCTAGCATGTAATGTTTGTACTAATAAACAGGTGACCGCGAAAAAGCACTCTTCAGTGCTTGTGAATACTTCATGATCAAACATACTTCCTGGTCGTATATTCCTATGGATATATATAAATGCAAATATAATCTTTAACATCCACATTGTTTGTGATACTTTTCTACAATTATAAATCGTGCGACTATATACAACATAAATCGTAGTGAACAGTCCCGTGTATTTCACGATAACTTCGTGTAGACAGGTGTAATCACACCACTATGTTCAAGTGTACAATGCTCCTGTATCATTCCTCAGTCCACTCCGCAATCATGTAAAAAAAAATAAAACTGAATATAGTGTAATATGTACAACCAAAAATAGTCTTTATTAAAAAATATATATACTCACATTAAAATGTGTCCTTCTGGGACACTACGGTGTTAAAAACTCACTATACAGTGCTCCAGGTTGTATAGATGCTGTAATCCCTCTTGCACGTAGACTTCCGGTTGCGGCTTGACGTCATCGGCACACCCTATGCGTTACGTCACAACAGTTGACTTCATCAGGAGTCCTGATGAAATCACATGTTGTGATGTAATGCGTAGGGTGTGCCGATGACGTCAAACTGGAAGTCTACGTGCCGCCATTTTGCCAGAGGGATTACAGCATCTATAAACCTGAAGCACTGTATAGTGCGTTTTTAACACTGTGGTGTCCCAGGAGGACACATTTTAATGTGAGTGGATATATATTTTTTAATAAAGGCTATTTTTGATTGTGCATACTACGCTATATTCAGCAGTTTTTTTGTGTTTTTTTTTACATGATTGTGGAGTGGATTGGATTTATATTAAGTGTTGGCAAAGAGTTGACAAAGAGTGGGAAGACTTTTAACCTAGGCTGGCATATATGGTACAAAGTCTTCCCACTCTTTGTCAACTCTTTGCCAACACTTAATATAAATCCAATCCACTCCGCAATCATGTAAAAAAACGCTGAATATAGTGTAGTATGTACAACCAAAATTAGCCTTTATTAAAAAATATATATCCACTCACATTAAAATGTGTCCTCCTGGGACACCAAAGTGTTAAAAACGCACTATACAGTGCTTCAGGTTGTATAGATGCTGTAATCCCTCTGGCAAAATGGCGGCACGTAGACTTCCAGTTTGACGTCATCGGCACAACCTACGAGTTACGTCACAACATGTGACTTCATCAGGACTCCTGATGAAGTCAAGTGTTGTGACGTAACGCATAGGGTGTGCCGATGATGTCAAACTGGAAGTCTACGTGCCGCCATTTTGCCAGAGGGATTACAGCATCTAAACAACCTGGAGCACTGTATAGTGATTTTTTAACACTTTGGTGTCCCAGGAGGACACATTTTAATGTGAGTGGATATATATTTTTTAATGAAGGCTAATTTTTGGTTGTACATACTACACTCTATATTCAGAGTGTGTGTGTTTTTTTTTTTTTTTTTTTTTTTTTTTTTTAACGTGATTGCGGAGTGGATTGAGGGATGATACAGGAGCATTGTACACTTGAACATAGTGGTGTGATTACACCTGTCTACACAAAGTTATCGTGGAAGTAAGACAAGTATTTTTCATTCTTTTTCTTTCTTGCAATGTGTGTGTTTTTTGTTGTTGTATTGCAGTGTTTTGTTGTCAGGGTTTGGGGGGCAGCCACTTGAGCAGACCTTGCATTTTACTGCAAGATCTGCTCTCCAGTTTTTAAGAAGTTTAAATCGTTAGTTTGGACCAAACTGGACCAAAAGAACTATAACCTTCACTACTAAATGTGCCCTTTGTGTGTGCTGTATAAACTGTATGTAGCCTAAGCTACAAACAGTATACAGCACTGTGTCCTGGCAGTGGAAATATATATCTATGGCAATAAGGGAGTGGGCAGAGATGCACAAAATACTGTATCAAATGAAGTCTAGTTGAGATGCAAGAAATAGAGGTGTTTCAGCCCATTGAACTCGGTTATGTGTTTATTTGTAAAGCTCATTGCTGAAGTATGCTTTTGTTCCAGGGGGTCACGGTCTACATTGGCAAGCATAGAAGATCATTCGTTAAACTCACACTGGACCCTTCGCTATCCACGGAAGAAATCCGCCATACATTGTATCGTAAAGTAGAGCACATTATTCACACCATGTCCATCACTGAGGAGGCTGTCACTGCCTCGCTGTCTGATAGGATCTCCATTGGTCGGTTCAATAAAGATGACTTTGAGAGCAGCAGAAGAGCATTAAAGTCCAGCCCAGGTACAGGCACAGTGATCACTGAATGCTATATTGTTCTATGATAAACACATTCACATCCTAAGTTGCTGGTTGCTTTTGGCTACTTAAAATATTCTTTATATCCCAATATGTCTCATTCAGAGATAACATCCCTTTCACAAGGGACTGTTAACCTGTCAATCCTAACTACTCTCCCCATGTCCACATCCTAGTGAAGAGCGTATGGGGCTTAGTTAACTCCTCCATGACCAACCATCGAAAGGACCATCTCCTGCGAACATATATAGAACCTTTCCACAGATGAATTACAGTTGCAAATTTCTCTTTTAGATTGTGATGTATAGGTAGTAGAAAATGCATCAGGCTCCATTCACAAAGCTTTAACACAAGGAAAAGGCACTTTATATTAGCTGTGTGACTATAATTTCCAAATGTCATTGGTCTTGGCTGAGAATACAGCCCGTTAATACAGCAGGTGAATGTGTAGCTGCCAGGAAGCGTCTACAAATAAATGACAAGCACTGTGGCTGTTGCACATATAACTGCACATCTAGCAGTTAAATGCTGTTGGGGACAAATGAGTCACCTATCAGCCTAGCATTGATTTTTACAGGCTTCCTGCTGATCGCACATACCTGTAATTCCTTTCATGGCTGTAAGCTGGTTCTTACCGCACCACTGCCCTTATTGGCCATGTAATCGAAGCCTAACTTTCACTGTTTTTTTGTTGATGAGAATCATTATCCTGTTTGTGTTAGCTTTGTAAATTGATCTTGTCATGGGCTGACAGGTAAAGTGTGCTAAAGGTTAACATTTTTTGTTGTTGGAATCCATGAATGCTATCTTAAACCAAAACTGCAGTTACAGTTGGTATTTGGTAGGTTTGAAAAAAAAAAAAAATTATCTTTTGCCACATTTTTTTTTCTGGCCCTTTGAGACTATTGTGTTATGACTGTGCACTGTGAATGGCACCCCAATTCACTGCACAGTAGTGGACAGCATGGTCCATTACACTGGGTTGGCAGCTCATTCATTTTTGAATGAGCTTTTGCAGTGCACATAGACCACAATAATAATGCTTGTTGATGGAACACACATTGAACTTCATAAGCTGGGAAGTGTCTTCTATATCTGTACCTATGTCTTTGATATTGCTGGTTCGATTGGTCACATAACAGTTTGACTGCCCTAACATCTTATATATTATAGGTTATGAAATCACATTCACCCTTCTCAACCCAGATCCAAAATCTCATGACTTAAACTGGAATATAAGCTCTGCCTCAGACCATTCTATCCAGCCGTTCGTTCCTGGACAAGTTGCAGCCTGTAGCCAACTTCTCTGTAGACTCTCAGGTTAGTGGCAACTAGTTTACTAGTGTCTGTAGTCTTTGCCTGGTACCTCAGAATCTACCATATAACCTGTGATATTAGTACAGCTTTTACTATTAAATTCAAGTTGTAGTGAAAATTGAAGTAGCTATTTCAATTGAAGTGTATGTGTGCTTTTTTGCTAGTGTTCTTCACCTGCATGAGCTGAGCATTGATTCAGTTTCATGTTGTCATTTGTTGCCTTGCATGCACAGCATAGTTTGCTTTGTTCAAACTTGAGGCATGCAGCATGGCACTGCACAGGTTCATGCATAACCTTTGTCTGTAGCATAAGCACTTGCATATCCCACAATCCCTGTGTCTCTCGGTCTCATACTTTGCAGGTAAAAGCTAAACAGTGATTTGATCTGAAACAGAGCAAGAGAGACAGCTCAGTTATTCGGTGTTTCATCACATTAGCACTCCTACATTTGTGATGCATCACAGAGGAAATGGGGAGGCCTGCACTGGACGTTGTGTGGCCTAGAGTGTACAGTACTATTGAGACAGGTTAAAATTGAATGGTGCAGATATACAGTTCTAATTTGGATGTTCAGTAGCAAGTTATTTGCTAGGATGTTAGAATCAGGCAAAATAGGTAATTTCAAACTCAAAAATAGGTCATCAAAAACACACAAATTGAGAGGGCTAAATCTTGAAGAGGACCACATTATATTTACTGAAGGATTCCTTAATCTTACTTTGCTAAAAGCATAAAAAGTCACTTCTAGAAAGATCACTGTCATACCGGGGGGGGGGGGGGGGGTACTTATTTGGCTAGTGTGAACACAGACACTTCAGTCCCAAAGATTACTCTGTGGCTCACATTATTGCCTTCCTACAACCGGGACTTGACCAAAACTTGGCCTTTAAAGTGATTGTAAAGTGCAAGATAAAAGCTGCACCATTACTGCTCAATCCACCAGATTGGTCACGTTTCCTGGTCATTCTGGCATCAAGCTTCTGTTGCCCACCTTTGTAAGGTCACTACCTGGTCTTATGTTCATACCTTTTTGAAAAGTTCTACCAGGTGGATGTCCAAGGATTCGAGTTTTGGCCATAAGGGTCTTACAGCAGCACTCTGAAGTTTGGTCTATTTTCCTTGTTTTTTGCCAAAGTTCTGTTTGCCTAGTTGTTACCAACCCCTCTTATTCATTGCTTGAAAATGTGCAAGGGTGTATGAATATCAAGCATGTGACCTGTAATGTACAATTTAAGATAAAAGGAATTTTGTTGTATCTGTAAAATTCTATCTCTTAGACTGCAGTACAGGCCACCCTTTCTTCTAATATTGTATTACTCTGCATCACTTGCTACAAAAGTGAGGACTCAATGAATGGGGTAGAGTTATAGGGGGAAGCTCAGGGAGTGTGTCCCTCAAGTAATTGGCAGTCTCTAATCACCTGAAGCTACCAGCATTTAACCCAGGGTTTATGAGCATCAGGCCTGTGTCCTGTACTGTACTCTAAGATATGGAATTTACAGGTAAGTCAAAGTTACTTTTATCTCCGCTTACTATTCCTTTAGATGTTGTTGTAGCTGCATTAGTTTTCACTATCACAGGCATGAAAATACCAGTTGATCTTGCCAGAAATGCAGTGTGCTGTGCATAGAAATTTTATCTTGCTTATCCAACAGTAATAGATTTGAACAAGGGCTTGGCATATTTGAAGTCCAGGCTGTAGGACAGCCAAGGTGGTCCCATAGATGCACTAGAGAAAAAATTGTAGACCTGAAGGAACAGGGAGTGTATTATTTGTAGGGTCACTTGGTGGAAATCAAAAATGGGAGAAAAGCCTGAAAAATAACATGAATCACTGGCCATGAATAAATGTGCATATCAGGAAAATCAGATTAGGGTCAAAAGTCCTATTCTGCGTATTAGATCTTGGTTAGTGACTCAAGTTATAGAAGGCATAATAATGCATTGCTTCCAGCAATTTCATAATTGCCAACATTTGAAAAAAGTTTTTAGGGACACTTTATTTTCTGTTTGGTGAGAAAGCCTCTGTAGGCGGGTCATTGTTCTAATTAGGGGTGGGCATTCATATATATTATCATATATTATGAATGTACAGCAGAGAAATACACAGCAGCATGTTTCCCAAGTAAAACACACACAGCACATGTTGTAAGACACAGAACACCCCTTTGATCGCCTCAGTTGTTAATCCCTTCCTGCCCAGTGTCATTAGTACAGTGTCAGTGCTTTTTATTAGCACTGATCACTGTATTAGTGTCATTGGGATGTCCGTGGCAGTTACTTCCCACCAAGTGTCAGAATGCCCACCGCAGTCCTGCTATAAGTTGCTGATTGCTGCCATTACTAGTATAAAAAAAAAAAATATACCGCCATTTGTAAATGCTATAACCTTCACATAAACCAATTAATTTACTTGTATTGGGATTTTTTTTTTAGCAAAGACATGTAGCAGAATACATTTTAGGCTAAATTTATTACTATATTTGTTTTTTTTACTGGATATGTTT